GTTCCCGTCTCCCGTCCTTCACTGCAGCTTGTTTTTTTAGACAGCTGCGAGGTTTTGGCAGGCGACAGCTGGTCCTTAGGTCACACATAAACCGGCGAAGAATTATTGCCGCCTACACGTGTGCACACATCGAGGGCTAGACCCAGACTCCCACCTTGCAGCGCACGTAGACAAAAAAGCCACTGACGGAGCTCATACCGATGCTGCCAGTACGGTGAATAACTTATGGAATTATTTACCATAATGGCAGCAAAGGTACCAGCTAAAAGCCCAGACAGGTGTTTCACCGATATTCCGTCGCTGCTAGAATGGGGAGGGGTTAGGTTCATTAGTTGGTTCTGAGGGAGAGAGAGACACTTTATTTTAAAAATATCATTCTAAAATTTTCAGTAAAAACCTCCTCCGTTCACAAGAAATAAAAGAAGGCACACAAACTCACAACACCAGGAAATCAAAAGCGATCAATACTCGCTAATGACTGCAATTTTCGACATCGTGGATAAAGGTCCTTGGCAAATTCGGCAAATATAGGCCGAATTTGATTGCTTTAAAAACGAAATAAGCGTCGTGCGCCGATGACCTCATTGTGGTTTAAATAAACAAGAAAGGATAAAAATCGGTTTATAAGGGGCGAAGTAGGCCAACCGATGTATATATAAGAAAATTTTCGTACGAATGCAAGGAGGAAAACTGGTGGCTCAATTTGAGAAGCCCGTTCAGCATTTCTGAGAACATAAAAAAGTTTGCACATTAAACTATTAATTGCGCTACCAGTATAGTAAATAATCACGTAAGTCATGCCACTAACTGCCTTTTGGGAGCTTGTGAATATTTCGCGGTTATCCCGTAGTGGCTGATGGACTGTGACTCGAATATTCATATGAAATGTCGGTCTACGTCGGTATATCCTTGAATATACTCATTTGCTCCAAGCTGTAAATTCATTTCTGGGCTGTAGTTTCAAAACTGAAGTGTCTACCACAAAGCCCACAGGGAATTCTGAAAACCCTCGGATGAGCCAGGCCCCTCGCAGTTGTGTCAAGCAGCGACAGGACACCGATGAATCACGTGACTGGGCTTTTAGCTAGTACCTGTGCTACCGGTGTGGGTTAAAAATTACATGTCAACGATTCCTTGTAAGGAACACTGCAGCACCAGATAACCCTAGGTCTCTGTCTCACGGAACTGGTAGCAATAGGCGTTTTTTGGGCGGGACATATCAGGCGAAAGAAAATGCGATTAAAATAGTAGAGTGAATAAAAGTAAAAAAATAATGAAGGAATTTATTCACGTAAGCTAATATTTGGCAACAAAAAGCGCGCGATAAGAAAAATGAGAAATATAGCCAATAGAAGACAAGAAATCCGCGAATTGCGGAACGATGCAAAGAAATGCGAATTTTCGAGATTAAACTAGAAACTATGGAAAATTGGGTTTTCTCCCATTTTAAGGCGAAAAGCACTCGTATGTCGCTAATAAAACTGAATGAAACTAAAGCAGAGTAAGCTAAATATACTAAAAAGGGCAGGAGTTTCCTTGGTAGCGCACATATACTCTTATTTATATTTAAATGCCTACACAATTAATTTTTGTTAGGGTAAGGATAAGGGTTAGGTTTATGGTGAGGGTTAGGGTAAGTGTTAGGGTTAGGTTAAGGGTTAGGTTTATGGCTAGGGTAAGGACTGGGGTTAGAGAGACCCTATATGGACAGATCTGTT